ATTCCTAAATCCAATAGAAGAGTTTTTTTTCAGCATGGAGGTGGAAAGTATATGATCATAGACCACAAGATCAGATGTCTCTGTTGGATGCCATGAATGCTGCATGTGAGGACATCACAGCTGATCATTGCAGGGGATGGGTGCGGCGTTCAAATTTTTTTTTTTTTTTCTCTCTCCCCGGTGCATGGCAATGGAAAACATCAGATGTGATGTTGATAAATCTTTGGCCTGACCAACAAGAGCGACAGGATGTCCACTAAGAATAATTTTTGAAGTATTCAAAAGAAGTATTTGTGGTAACATATGAAATGTACAGTAATTGGACAAGCAAGATTTCACTTATGTAATGCATTCGTACAAATAAATGTACTGCATATACATATGTTCATATACCTATTTTATTTTTTATTTTTTTTCTCTATGTACTATTGACTCAACAAATATCAGTTTTTATTTTTTTATAAAACCTTCATTTCCATGGTTGACTGTGATGGTGCAAAAACAACTAAACATTTTGACCAGTGTGGCTCACACAATGACAAAAATACTTTATATTTTTGGTGGCCTTGGCCAAATTACTGACACGATAACTAGGTTTTGACGCATGAATGAAATGTCTTGGGTGAGTAACTACATTTTGCAGACATGCAATGAAGTTCCAGCAAACAGTTGTGACATTTGCACTCAGTTTAGAGAATGTTAAGATTGTTTCGAAAAATGTGCCAAAGCAATTGAGAAAAACTGAAATGGCTGTTCTGCCGGAGATAGGGTCTTTAGAACCATCCATATGTCTACAGTAACAATTATGAGAGACCGACAGACAGCTAGAATGACCAGATTTAATTTGGCTGTGAATTTAGAAAGATATAAAAATTACATATTTAATAGGATTTTTAAAACATCTATATGTATTTTCATGTTAAAATAGTTTGTTTTTATATTTTTTTTAAATGAGAATGCATTGTTTTCCAGTTTTCAGAATTGCTGTCAGGCATTATGTTTGAACCTATGGTGTAATTTACAATGCCTTCATGATGTGGTCAGACATTCAGAGTATTCATTATTGAGTCTCTTTCATAAGGTTTGTCTCACTGCACAATGCATCAGTCACAATCACTGTCATTCATTGGTGAGAGGATGCCACTGTCTGCTGGTTTGAGGTCAAACTCAGGACACGCTGAGATAGTCATTTTACTAAAGCCAAACCCATGGGTGTTTCTGTATTTAAACATATAAAAGCAGACTCTATATTATACATCAATTATATAGTTAGACTATGGTAGAGGTCTTTGACTGTCTCTGTTTTTGTATAAACTTTAAAATGCTTTAATACAATGATGTCAAAACACAAGTTGGGCCAACAAAGAAGAGTTCAGCCTATCTCTCAAAGTATGACCAGCTAGGTTTATAAAACTTTATGAAGTTTCATACAGCCAGCAAAATCTGTGAATCTGAAAAGAATAATAATAAATAGGCTATATTTGAAAATTACAGAAATGTTTAACATTTCTTTGTTTTATATATTTCTTTGTTATAATTGTTTTATATTTCTTTTCATTTTTTACTAAGGGAATTATTGTGGTCATCTCTGATTAATTTCAAAGTGGAAATGCTACTATTTTAAAAGATTGTTAATTGTTATCTCAGGCTTAATCAAGAACATGATTTGCTATGAATCAAGTAAACCTATAAATGAATGAAAAGCCTTCTATAGAGCTGCAATAAAATCAGGACATGTGATATTTAATATAGTTTGTATATGAGCAATTAGTTATGTTACTTTAAATTAAACACCATAGAGGGGAAAAAACAGATAAATTAATTCCGGAAAGGCTATTGTAAGAGCAGTGCGCCCTCTACTGATAAAATATGTACAAACACGTGTACTACAGTAGGCCAAGTGGCAGTAAAATTGAGTGAAATTACATCTGGAATCTTATTTCTGCAAAAAAAAAAAAAAGGCACTCATTCATACTTTTACAGAAGAAAATGTCAACATTAAATAGGCCTACTTGCCCTCATCGACCGTAGATTTGCTGATGAACCACTAGAGGGCGACATTTGTTTGTTTTTGAATTGGTTCATCCAGCTCTGTTTACTGTCCAGCGGTGGTCTCAAACTCAATTCCTGGAGGGCCACAGCTCTGCACAATTTTGCTACAAGCCTAATCAAACACACCTGATCCAGCTAATCAAGGTCTTCTTCAGGATTACTAGAAACTTCCAAGCTGGAGCTGGTTGGAGCTAAACTCTGCAGAGCTGTGGCCCTCCAGGAATTGAGTTTTGAGACCACTGCTGTAGCCTACAGTGTACACCTTATCGCGCTCGATACCTTAATTCACTGTTGTCTCTCGATTAAGACTTTGAGACTTTATGTGAGTGTAATTAGGGACACTTCAGCCTTTCTGAAGACGATAAATCCTACATTGTAGTACGCACGCGGAGGGCGGACTTAGCCTTGTTTGAAATCTCTATGGTATACCATCCACAGTTCATAAATCTTGTTAATATTCTTTGTGAATTAAACAAAAGGGGCTTTCTTGGATTTGTCACAGCAGACTCTCCATAGGGAGCTGTCCTACAAACAATTAGAGACACGCTTGTTTGTTCCATTAACATGAGCGTGAGGAAAATTCTCTCACATTCTTCATCTGAGCTCACAGAACTGTGTAAAATAACTGTTGACCACAAAATATCCTCTTCTAATGAGAGCAAATGATTGTGTGAAAGTGACTTTGTTTGAAATGACGAGCCTTTTACTTGACCCGCACTATATTGCTGATGAAGGACCTCGTGGGTGATGTGATAAATAAACCTAACAATCCTGTTGATTAGGCCTATTCCACCCGAACTTTGATGTCTGACCTCGCAGACCTGTGGCTTTCAGGCTTCCAGACATGACCTCATCATTTGGCCATGCACCTGACCTTTGGCATGTGGTCTCCCTCTGTTTACACAATCAAACCCGAGGTGGGTCTCACAGGCCGGCGATCCATCTGTTTTTTAAGAATTCCACATGCTGCCTAAACAAATGTATTCAAAGTCTGTTTGGAGTTACACACCTGTTTGTGGTTGTTAGAAATGCTTTTTAACGATTTTCACTCTCAAGACCAATTCTCTAAGGCATCACGTGGAAGCCTCTAGTCTGGAAGGGGAATATCTAATGCATTCCAGCGTAGGTCCGTTTCCATGTGTGTGAGGCACATCTGTTGAGACGTGAGGTCTGTCCCACCGACAGTTTCAACAAACTTTCTGGCTTACTTAAAGTGTCTGACAAAATTTGCCCCGACCGTTTAGTTTTTCTGCCACATGGTTGAAGGTCGTGTCTGAGTCACAGTTTTTTTTTACATCAAAACCAGAAAATAAACTGAGACTGTTCTGTAAAGTTCAATGTTTTGGGGTTTTTTTTGGGGGGGGGGTTACAGCACAATGGAAAAAATTTAAAGGAATATTCTGAATATTCACAATGTGAAATATTTAGAGTAATGCAGTTACAGTGGAAGCCTGGTGGGTCAGCATTAAAAAGCAAAAAGATAAAGGTATTTTATGGTATAACTTACACTTAGTAGGTGTAATTGATTTACTTTTTTAGGTGGATAAACCTCTGGTTATGTTGGTTTTCTTCAATGTTTTTAACTGGTATTGTTGTGCAAATACTAAGTGCAGGTAGCTTTAACCTTTTTAGGTGGTTGATAAGCTATTCTACTAAACCATTTATTGTTTCATGCTAACATGTAACGTTTGGGTGTGTGTACAGCATTAGAACAAGTCCAGTGTAAATAAATAATGAAAATTTTTCATTTTTTTGGGTTATTCATATTACTGCATGCTTGTCTACTAGGCTTTAGTAAGTGCATTGTGGAAAACACATTATTATTTATTTTATTTATTTTTTTCACGTGAAATTATTTTCTGTAGTAACCACAATAAGCACAAATGCTGTCGAAAGAGCTTAAGTCAACATGAAACTGATTTTTTTACCATTTCCAGACCATTTTAATAAGATGATGTATTAGTCAAGATATTCAACAAGAACATGTAGGCCAGTAAATGTTTGTAAGAAATCCCTAAGGTTAAGAAAACGCTTGACAATACACTTCTTGCAACTGAGCCATTGGTAACTGACTGACAAGCTGTCTGTGAAAATTTGTTGACAAGTGGTTGGAGGGACTTGGTGACATCAGCCAAAAATGAAAGTCCTTCAGTCATTTTTTTTTTTTTTTTTTTTTTAAATAATGTGCACCAATCAATAATACCAGGAACATGTATTAGGAAGTAAATTAGGTTACTTTTGAAGTCACATTAACAATAAGCTCATCCAAAAGTGAAATTTCTGTCATCATTTACTCACTCTCATGTTGTTCCAAACTCGTATACCTTTATTTCTTCTACAGAACAAAAAAAAAAAAAAGACAAAAGGTCAATGCAATTATAATGAACGGAGACTGAGGTTTTCAAGTAATTTTAAGTTGTATTTAGCTCAGAATGTTCCTTTAAAATGACCTCATCTCTTTATACACACAAAATCAACTAGACAATAATGATGCAGTTTAATAAATAACAATTACCACACACAACAATGTATGTACATGTTCTCGTACTGCTGCAAAAGAAAACTATTATTTGAACAAAACAGAAATGCATAAAAAAAGAACTAAAAAAAAACAAACTGAAGTCCAACTCATTCCATTGTAGTGTCCTATGTCAAAGACATCATATTTATTCTCCTTAGACAGTCTGTTTTATATCATAAGTTGTCTTCAATGGTTTGCACAAGGAAAATATCCATCATCACATGGAGAAATATCGAGTTTAATATCATAAGGCCTGCGCTGGTGTTTTGAAAAGATGACAGTTTGTCATTGTCTCCAAGACTTTCGGCTCAGCACACACACACAAGCTACATTGATCCTTACGAGTCTCCACGCCACCAGTTTCTTGAATGAAGTCAGCGCTCGCACAAACGTGTGTGAATTGGTACAGTACGAGTTCCAATGGCGTGCATCGATTCCCAAACACCCGGATCCTCCGGTCCGTCTGCTGCTGCAGGTCGTCTCAAAAAAGTACTGCTTTTTCTTGGAGTTGTTGATGATAACATCAGGCAAGACTGTGACCTCGTTGCCCGAGATGTCTGTAGCTTTGGTTTTATTTCCCTCCCAAGTGCTAACGCTCTCACAGACGGAGTAAACTCCGCGGTGTTGAGGCGCTCCTGCTTTCCTCTTCGCCCTGCTCCTTGTCTGGTGCCCAGCGGGCTCTGAGTCGGGGGGTTGTTCGCTGAAGAGAACGCGGGGTGAGCGGTACCGTCTCTTGATGAAGAGTTTAGGATCCACGGTCGGCACAGGGTTGGCCGTGACATCATCCTGTCTGCGGTCGGCGTTCTGTGGACAGATGTCACCTGGGCGCTGGGCAAACATCTGGCTGCAGGACAAGAGCAGCAGGGCTAGCATGGACCACCGCATGGGCTCAACGTGACCTGAGTACGGCACAGGTTAATGTTAGCTTTCACCACACAGAATAGTGGTAACTACCACATAGACATAGTGGTAACATACAAATATAATGCCAGATTTCTTTAGATTTTCTTCTGCATAGCGATGCACAGATACTATATATATTACTTTGGCTGATATAGGTATACAGTAATTGGCAGCCAAAGAAATGTAGATCAACAACATGATGGTTGATATCTGTAGATCTACAGTTTTAGCATTTTTTTAAATGGAAAAAAAAAAGCTCAATAAAGCTCCAATCTACAGTTTAACATGCTGAAATATCTGTGATTGAAGAATTTTTTGGTACCTTTTTTTGGTACTTGTTTTCAAGTAGTGAAATCAGGCATCAAAACATTATAATGTGCAATAGAATAGAATAACTGTTGGTACTTTTTCTAACTGCACAGACAAAAGTTGTCCAGAAACTGTTTAATTCTGTAAAATAAGAGTATTATCTACTTGTAATACTGGCTGATTCATATATTTAAAATAATTAGTATTTATATGAAAAAATACTTAATATTACAATATATTCAAATACAAATATTAAATTGTTCTCTACTTTTATGTAGACAGTTATTTATATTATATTGATGGTCATATGTACATTTTAAAAAGAAAATAATATTAAAATATTTTACATAATTATATTAAAAAGATATACATACTGTACATATGTGCACACACATCATCATCATCTGTAGCTGAAAATCTTTATATATATATATATATATACATACATATATTTAAAATATTTTAATATATATATATATATATAATACCTAGTTAATCGATTTTAAGAATCGATTATGTAATGTAATAAATATTTTAACAAAAATACCAAACAAGAGAATATTTTATAGTCTCTTCAACTGGATATTTTGACACTATTGTGGTACATTGATGATATCAGATTGGTAATACCATGGCATTTGATACAGTATATGCCATAATACTGAATGATTACCATATCTATAAACTTTTCAATTTTCATGGTAATATTTTAGCATTAGCAGTAGATGTCCAAAACCATGGTAGTACCATGGTACCATGTCTAATTTACTACTCGATAGGCCTACTGTAATTGACAGCTATTCTATAACAGCTATTCAAGCGGTAGAAATCCCTCAGACTTGTGTGTCAGCACAACCTGAATGAACCGCCACAAATTAGCATGGCATAGCTTTGACTTTTAAAAACTGAAAATAGGTTTATATTTTTGCTTTACACAGGTAATCGTGTGCTAAGAAAGAAAAAAAATAGTGTGTTTACCTGTGAAATGTGTCCAGGTGAACTGTTTTCTCCCGTCTGTCTTTAGCGTAGCTCTCCTGTGCTCCTCATGGTACATGTATCGACCAGCGTGGCATCTTCTGCTTCCAGCTCCTCTGCAGAGAGGTACAGAAAAGTATGAAGTAAGCTGTAATTTCATATAATTACCATTTACCGCATGTGTATTGCTCATGCAGCCTTGGATTCTAGTGAATCGATTCATTCAAGCACATTTACAAAAGATGATTCACCAGACCGAGAAGATTTGTCATATTAAAAAGATCTCCTACGACTCCTATTTCTTTCCTACACGGTGAAACACCTCATCCGTCCAAATACTTTCCTTCCATTGGTGAAATGCTGGGAGAAAAATGCACATTTCAGACCTCACAGGCCATGTTTCAGTGAATAAATAACATCTTCTTTGAGTGATGTAGTAATCACTGTCAAATTACTGCTCAAGCGTGACACGCGCAGACAAGCAAGACAGACCAAAAACCCAAATGTGACACACATCAGCTTACACCCCAGACCCAAACCATCCGACTGCCACAACATACACAAGCCTCTAATAAATTGCTTTGGATCACAGCCTTTCTGTGTGGTTTGCGGAGGTGGTCTAAGAAATCCTCAGCCACTGACTTCAAACTCATTAGCTGTGATAGAGACAATTTAACACGTTCCTTCTGGCATAGCCGGTGCTATCACACTGACACAAAGAGCCGAGCCAGGTGGTGCGCTCCTTCCAAAACAGTCTGCTTTCATATGGTAACAGTTCCTGAGTGACATGGGTTTCAGCGTGTAACGTGAGCCCTTCCAAAGCGCACATACGCACTGCCTTATCTGCAACCTCCACAGGTCTATGGATTCCAGCGCCTGCAGGGCAGCTTTTCTTTAAGCACTCATGTGTGGCAGAGCTCAGAGATGAAGCGTGGCTTTGTGCTGGCCCTGGGCCTGTGGACTAGTAGTCTGTGCACAGGCAGCATCCACTTTAGTGCACACTGAAGACTCGTGCTATAGTCCACATAGTTTCACGAGAAGCTGTCACATGACATTACATAAAATGAAAATCATTGCGATTTAGGATGAGGTGAAAAGGCAGGCATGTTCGGACCATCCTGTCAAAAAAGAAGCTAGTCAGATGAAACTTATCTTAAAAGTAAGAAAAATACTCCGATGGAAAACATGGGTTTAATTCAGCAATTCAAAGGTGCAAATAAATGAACTCAATCAAACAATCCATAAAAAGGAATTACTAAATTATCTAAATTACAGTGAAATTCCTTTTTTTTTTTGGTGGCTTTTCTTATTTCTAAAATATATTAGAAATAAGGAAAACTGCCCAAAAAAAAGGAATTTCACTGCAATTTAGATAATTTAGAATATTGGAAAATTGTAAAATATATATTTTTAAATGTGTAATGAAATTGTAAAATTAAAATGAATACATATCTATGTGTGTGTGTGTAGTCTTCATATTTGTACATATTTTTACTTTACAGTTTTATTACAAATTTAAAAAAATCACACCATTTTTTTATTTTTTGTATATTAGAAAATTGTAAAATATTTTCTTAAAAATGTGTAATCAAAATTTAAAATGTACAAGTTTAAGATAGCATATAAAAGTGTGTATGTACAGTATATATATATATTGCTCAGGTCCCTCCTTCCATGTAAGTCTATAATTTTCCACTTGTTCTATCATCTGCCAGGAGGAAATCATAAATCTTATGGCATATATACAGTATTCATATACTAAGTTTTACAGTTAGAGAAGGAAATATGTTAAGATATAAAGAACATTTATTTAGGCAGCTTGGCCTCAGTGAAAAAGCTGATCAGACAGCAATTAAAAATAATGACTGAAGTATTTAATTGCCACCATAATAATTTATAGTATGCTTCACTGACAAATTTGTGATTGTTAATAAAACCAACCAAGGACATAATGCAGACAAACACACTCACATACACACATCTAAATGACTGGCTGTACTAAGTTTGTTGTGAAATGGTGTGAAAGACTTATCGCTGGTGGGGGCATATAATCTGCTCTGGATATATAACTGGACATTATTGTACCATCACATAAACACCCTATTAGCACCCTGCTCAGCGAAGAAAGATATCCATATCTCATCTTCATTAGACATAAACATACATGTATGACTTACATGTAAAACATGATCAAACCCCTGACCTTAAGTTTGAAACTTTGGTGAGTAACACCATTTGTGCTACAGACATAAATGATATCATGCAGCTCATGGATGAGATGTGTCATTACTTTTCTAATGAAAAAATCCAGGCCTAAAATCCGAGCCCATGACTCCCAAGTTAGTGTCAGAGTTATCAGAAATATTTATCATAATGGTACATTACATACATAATTAAAGGAATAGTTCACCCCCCCCAAAAAAAAAAATTATGAGAATTTGCTCACCTTCAGGCCATCCAAGATGTGGATGAGGTTTTTTCTTCATCGGAAGAGATTTAGAAATTTTGAAAAAGTGCATAATTTGCTCACCAATGGATCCTCTGCAGTGAATGGGTGCCATCAGAATGAGAGTCCAAGCAGCTGATAAAAACATCACCATAATCTGCAGGTAATCCACATGACTCCAGTCCACCAATTAACATCTTTTAAAGTGTAAAGCAGTGTGTTTGTAAGAATCAAATCCATCAAGCCATTTTCAACTTTAAACCATCTCTTCTGGCCCAAATAATCCCTGTTGTCCTCTCACATCAAAATCCATCAACATATTTGTTTAGAACTATTTTGGACTGTTTTCACTTGCAAACAGAACTTGAACAGTACAACTTTTTCACTGGAGAAAGCAATATTGTGAATTGAGGACTCGTATTTTAGCCGGAAGTGACGGTTTGAAGTTAAAAACTCTCGTCTTAAAAATATAATCTTTTATTACAAACATGCAACTTTTCACATCATAAGACATTAATTGATGAACTGGAGTCATGTGGATTACTTGTGGGTTATTGTGATGTTTTTATCAGCTGTTTGGACTCTCATTCTGACGGCACCCATTCACTGCAGAGGATCCAATGGCGAGTAAGTGATGTAATGGTAAATTTCTCCAAATCTGTGCCAATTAACAAACAAACTCATCTGCATAGATGACCTGAGGGTGTATAAAGCTTAAGAAAATGTTCATATTTGGGTGAACTATCCCTTTAGAGAAAGAGATATATATATATGAAATAAATTAATATAGAAACCTTAAATTAACATTGAAATAACATTAAACCATTATGTAAGAACTGAATAACACAAGAACAAGTTTTTATTCAGTAAAAAGTCCTAAAGTTGAATGCACACACCAGTGCATCTAGTGTTCTGCAGCCACCCAGCAGGTCAACATGATCAAGATGAAGTACCTGCTCTTCCTGTGAGGACGGGTCATCACAGCGGAATGCACACACATCACTTCCTCTGTCAGAGCGAGTAACCAGAGGCTGTATGTGTGTGATACACAGTGTAAGGTTCAGGCTATTGTATCAGACAGGTGCTCAGGCCTCTCCCAGGACTGCCTAAAACGGTTACATTTTGTCTCTTGGCAGTGATGAACAGATATGACAGTTAAAGTTTAGTCAAGTCAAATATTTATCAAGTTTATACAAGCTCCAGAGAATAACATAAAGAGAGAATCAAAAGAAGTAGCCGGGCTCAACAATGAATACAATTTTTTGTTTACTGACAACTCTTTTGCTGTAACATGATTCATTATTTAATTACATACACTACAGTTCAGCAGTTTGGCGTATGTATGATTTTATTTTATTGTTTTTAAGAAATTAATACTTCTATTCAACAAAAACATTAAATTGAGCAAAATATATTTTTTTATATTTTTGAAGGTCTCTTACGCTCACCCAAGCTGCATTTATTTGTGAAATATTGTGACATATTATTACAACTTAAAATAAATGTTAAAATGTAATTACAGTTTTAAAATGTAATTCATTCCTGTGATGCAAAGCAGAAATGTCGTCAAATTATAAATGCTAACTTACTCAAACTTTTGAATGGTGGAATTATTGATAAATTAATTATTTTAAATATATATATATATATTTAATTTGAATTTTTACAATGAATACTAACAGAAACTATTTACAACTAACAATTTATTAAAATATTTATTAGAATTTACATTACAGTTTACATATAATGAAAATTATATTGCAACACTGGCTGTAATGTAACCCCGTCACAGTTGTAAATTTCTAAATGCATTTTTGCTGGAAAATGAGGACATACATTCCAAAACATTACTCATTTGTTTATAACTTTTTACAAGTACTAAATGATGCTTCCAAGACTATCACAAATCATTTAGACAGAACCTAATCCATGTCAGCCAACTAGATAACGTTACTGTGGAGATGTTGTAAATTCACAACAACACTATTCAATACATCACAGTAAACTAAATGTGTATGTTTGCATAAAACACAATGAGGGTAACACTGTAAGAAAAAAAGTGTGCAAAAAAGGGAAAGGGTACTGTCTAAGTTTACATTGAACATTTCCTTTAATCCTAAAACACAACACAGTGCAGAGCATAATTCAAAATGTGTGTAAAACACCCTGTGAAAAATCAACAAGGTGAATTCTTTCATATTAATACAATACATCATACCCTATTTTTACAGACTTTTCTTAGAAAGAAGATATAATGACAACGTAGCACTTGCCTGAGAGGAGATATCGACAGAGATATGGAGATATCCATATTGTTAATCTATGAGTTAAAGTTATAAAATTAAGCTAAGAGCAGTTACAAAGAAAAATAGAATATGTATATAAAAGTATAAACAAGGTCAAAACAATAAAAACAGACACTCAGTAGCTAATGACATCTATAAAAATGTCGGTCACTCATTAACGGCTGTTGGACTGGTAGATATGTTTTCAGTGCATAAAAGTAACGTGTCAGTAAACAAACATTTTGAATGCATCAGTGGTCTCATGATGAGAATCTTTTTGATATTTTTTTTTCTAAAAACACAGCTGAGACTCTCCTTTGTTTTCAGGCTATAGAAAACAGGTTGACTTTTCCCACAAGAGAAAGAGTCTGAGTGCTGAAATGTG